CACACTGCTCTAGTACCATAGAAAAAATTAGGGAAGGAGACCAGATCACACAAAAGAGAACCACACCAGCAGTCAAGGGATGACTGGTAACGCAAAGTCTAGCACACCCTGCTTCCCTTGCAATCCTCCTAGGGATGTGTAACTCTGGGACGCGGCTTCTGCGTGCAAGCCACAGACTTTTAATGCATCTCTGACATGATGTCCAAACACAGGCCAAGTTTAGTGGGGAGGTTCAATTTCTCAAAAATTGCTCAAACTGTTTACACAGTTCTGAGGCCAAGAACTCTGCATCTCTGGTATAATTTGTACAAACGGCGACCCAGTCATGACATTTGATTCTGTGTTGCTCTTCTCATTTTCCTTGTGGCAGCATTTAACATGAGACGCATAGAAACACCTTCCTCTCCCTGCGTATGAATGCAGCCCACCCTGGCTAGCTTGAATTTTCTGGCAGCGAACTTGGGCCTCCATTTTGCATAGATTTACACCCATTGCAAATTGCTGGATGGAGGCCTGAATTTTGCACTCGTTACCCAGCTTAAACAATAAAATTAAATGGCAAAACATGTCAGGTCAAATTGGCACCAGTGCAGAGTTGACTGAATGGCATCCATGGGGCCAAGTTGGAAAAAATCCATTGGATTTTCACCCCTCACCCAGATCACTCACCCTGCTCCTGCCCCGATCCCAACCTCCTCCCTGCAGGTAGTGGATTGGGGTGAGGAGAGCAACCACGGTGCGTGTGTCATTTAAGAGAACAAGCGTAAGATGGACCACCTGGAAGCTCGGGCTGACTGTCAGGAACTTCTCATTTATTATATTCCTAAATTGCCTGACGGCAGATTACAAGGAATTTAAATCTCAAGTGTTGATGTGCTAGGGTGCCATCCAAGACACGTTTATTCAGGAGAACGTCCTGCACCTCCGGCCGTGGACTCTTTTCTGCCTAAGCCTGGCAGTGGAATGCAAGGGAGGAGACCGTGGAGGCAACCAATGCATTTCAAGGTCAAGGCTGAATTCTCTCCCCTTGTACCTAACTAGCGGGGAGAGAGGGAAGAACAATAGACTGAGAGGAGAGTTTTCATGAGCAATTCAGCCAAGAAGCCACGGGGCAAATCAAAAGCACATTCCCACACGATCCCCAGCACAAAGGAGCAATTGTGCTAAAGGGCTGGAGGAACAGGGTGAAGGATGAGGACACGGTGCTAAACCGAATGGCACTTTTGGGAGTGGAGGTTTCAGGTTGGAGGGACAACACGTGGTTTAGGTGGATTCTTTCATGCCCAGGTTGGGTGACTCTGGCACGAGAAAGCAACACGGTTGAAAAGGGCTGTGCTCTTGCAGAATTCAGGCATCCTCCTCTTCCCAGGCATCTCATCCTGAAGGACAGATAACATCCTTCAGGTTACACTGGATGCATATCGCTTATCCTGAAGGATACATCCAGATAAATCTGGGTGAAGAGGACTTTCGGAAGCATCCCTGCCCTTAACGGAAACGCTTCCTTTGCCCAGCATGCTTTGGATCCCACAGGCTTCAGGCAAGTACCTGCTCCACACACAGAGAGAGCTAAGATTTCAGTACCAAGCTTCCGCCTTCCTAGATCCGAACGACAAACTCATTTCTCCAAGTTGCAGCTTTTCTTTTGAGCACTGTAGGTGCTATCTGTAGTGCTGGCCTCCACCCACAAAATGGGTTCACCACCTGGGCTGGCTCCCATAAAGCTCAAAAGAAAAGCTGCAATGGATGAGGAGCCCCACTGACACAGGAGTCAGCAGCCTCCTCTGCCCGTGCAGGCGAAGCAGGCCCAGGGGGCGTGGCATGCTAATGGACTTTCCGGTGGGGGATTCTGGGACGGCAGGGCAGGAATGGAGCATCCTGTGAAAGGGCCGGCCTCGCTGGACTCTTGAATGGAAACGCTCCGCACTCCAGCATTTTGCTGCAGGTCCAGTGCAGCGGTTGCACCTGACAAACAAGAAGCCGAAGAGAAAGCTCTTGCAAATGGCTGAGGCATTTGCAGGAGGCAGCACGGGAGAGCCTCCCCCTCCACGAAAGCCCTGCCCTTCGCCAGGTTTCGGAGGGACAGCGCTGGTGCTAGCCCGAGCGAGAGAGGGCTGCTGGCTCGCTTGTTTGTCTTCTTTCTTTTCCTTTTCAGAGAATTTTGTTTCAAACCCCTAAAGAACCCTTGTTGAGTTTCTTTGGTCATTTTCCAAGAATAAATAGGATTTAAAACCTCATTTGCACATTAAAAAAATTAGTTGAAGGAAACCTGGCTACTCTCACCTTTCCTTTCCAGAAAAATCTGGTGCTAGACATGTTTCCAACATTAAAATTCCAGCAGATGACTTATTACAGGGCAATGCTGAGCCCAGGCTGGAGATGATGCACGGGGGAGAACCTCTCCATAGACAGTGAGGGTGCAAGAGACACAGAGGCAGGCAGAAGGGATCCTTGCAAGCATGGGAGCAGGGGAACTAGGGGGTCGTGCAGAAATGTTGGCTGTGTGGCATCCAGACAGCTGGCCATGCCCTCTGTCAGGATACTCCCCTTCCCTTCCCTTCCCTTCCCTTCCCTTCCCTTCCCTTCCCTTCCCTTCCCTTCCCTTCCCTTCCCTTCTGATGTCAGGCTCCCCACCCACCCGCAGAAACTCAGCATTTTGTATCTGCTGTGCCATTTCAGGCTGTGGGTTCTGCCAGCACCTTGCCCTGGGTTGCAAGGATTGCCGATAGATCAGATGCCGAGCAGCAAGTCAATCGGCAGGTCGGGTCTCAGGAAGCAGGATGGGTAAAGATCAGCACCACCACCATTTTGAGAGGAGCTGGAACTGGAAGCGGGAGGGGACCGTCCCTGCAGTCCTTCAGCAGGCGGCAGGGCGGGGGCTCAAAAGGGGGGGGGGGGCTGAAGCCGACTAGCTGCCCCCAGCTCTGCACTGCCTGGTAAAGCAGCCTGGCCTGTTTCAGCAATGGCGGTGCAACTCTGCTTTCCTTGTGGCCTAAGTCCTTACAGTCTGAGACGGCGGTGCGATCTGCTCTGGAGGCAAAGGGGCTGGCCCTTGGAGTCTCTCTGGAAGAGTGACCCTGAGGAGACCGAAGCCTCCTGATGACTTTCCATGGCAGAGTCCTCTCCCCGGACCAGTAGCTTTGGAGTTGCATCTTCAGAGGACAAGAGCTTGGCATTCTCCAAGGATGAGTGCTTCGGCTCCGGGCCCATGACAGATAGGGAGCCTGCTCAGCCCTCAGTGGGAGATTTTGAAGTCTCCCGCCTCCCACAAGCATAGAATCATATAGTTGGAAGGGGTCTGGGAGGCCATCAGGTCCAACCCCCTGCTCACTGCAGGGCTCAGGTCTCCCATCCAAATACTAACCAGGCCTGACCTGCTTAGCATCTGAGATTAGGCAGGATCAGGCACTTCAGGCTATTTGGAAGCTTAATTAAGATTTTTTTCCCCCCCTCTAAGTAGCTTTTTCTTCCTGGTAAGTTTGCAAAACTTGGAGTCCCTTCACTTCTGCTGAGGATCAGCACCTGAAGAATGAACTCAGTTTTGGATAGAAATGACGGGAGAGAACACCAAAGGGCTGCAAGGTAAGGCTTCTGTTGTCTTTAGAACTTTAACGCAATCGGTGCCTCAGCAACTAGGATGAGTCAGGATGCAGAGATCATCTTGGCTTGGGTGCATCAGAGAGCCTTGGGTGCAAAGAGGAGCCAAAAAGAGGAGGCAGAAGGTGGCCTTTCGGTGGAGCCAAGAGAAAAGCTGACACGTTTGGCAGTTGGAGTGCTTTTGTTTTGTTAGGAGCCTGGTCTGATTTGCTGTGCCGGTTCTGCTTATGACTCAGTAAAATCGGCCAATTCCTTCATTTTGGGGTTTCAGTCTTCTCTAGTCAGTCATATCTGATATCCCTCCATAAGTCCCTCAAAGGCTGTCACAAAGAGGAGGGTCAAGATCTCTTCTTGCTGATACCAGAGTGTAGGACGTGGAATAATCAGTTCAAGTTGCGGCAACCCAGATTCAGGCTGGACTTCAAAAAAAGCTTCCTCATGGTCAGAGCAATGTGACAGTGGAACCAGCTGCCTGGAGAGGTGGTGGGCTCTCCCACACAGGGGACATTCAAGGAGAAACTGGCCAGCCACCTGAGTGGGATGGTGTACATGGGTGTCCTGCAACAGCAGGGGGTTGGACTCGATGGTCTTCAGGGCCCCTCCCAACTCTACTATTCTGTGATTCTGTGATATCTGCTGACAGCCCTTTCTGTGCTCCTTTATAGTTCCTCTTGTCTACCCTGCCTGGCTTTCTGCTCCTCCTAATTCACACAGGAGGATTTCTAGCAATAATTTCAGAACAGAGTACGCATGATTTCTATAATTGATTCATGCCTCCCCCGTGTCATTGATGAGTACGTGCGCATTGGTAAAACCCTGTGAAATGCAATCTAGTTACGTCTGTTCGTGTGACTGGTTTGAACTGTTGTGTGATACACTACCGAACCACACAAGCCAACATAGGCCTCTGCGAAACTGCACATGAAAAATGCTGCAACAAACACACCAACAGAACTGAACGTACGTAGCAACAGATCGCACACATGCAGCATCTCTAAACATGGGAAATGAAAAACAGGGAGGATATCCAGTGCATCAGTCCCACTTTGCAAAGAAACCAAGGGTTGTTAAAGTTCTAGGACAAAATCATACCAGAGCTTTGGAAAGATCCTTCAAGTTACAGATAAATACAGTTTCCGTGCCAGGGCAGTATCCGTGTTATTGATTGCCCGTTATAGCAAAAGCCAGAGTGGTGTAGCTGATGGAGTGCCGGGCTGGGATGCAGCTTGACTCTCCACCTGGCCATGAAGCTTACTGGGTGATGCCAAGCCAGGCAGCAACTCTCAAGGTGACCTACCTCACAGGACTGTTCTTGCAAGGATAAACTGAAAGACAAACTGGGTGCTTTGGGAACAGGAAGTAGATGTCATACATAAACCTAGAAAGTGAAATCCATCGCTTACCTGCTGGTTCTTCTGTGCTGGTGACCACAGAGGTTGGGTTGATGGCAGGAATCTCTGGAAAAGAAAGGGTGGGGTTTCTTAGTTGGCTGGCCCACGCTCCCTGCCCCTTCCCCATCCCTGGCAGATGGAAAGATTGACGCGAGGGGCTGTGCAGGTGTCTGTGTCTCAGAACAGGCCCTTGGAGAAGCGTCGCTGTCAGAGAGTTTCTGCAGTCTTCCGCTATTTGCTCGCCACTAAAAGGGAGCACCAGCCACGCTCTCCCTGCTTCCCAGAGTTAACATCATACAAGGGAGAGAAGGAGCAGGACAATAACTGACCAAAAATGTGGGGCCTAAGACATATACATAAATACATACATGCACAATATATGCTATATGCTAGTTCATATGCTTACTCTGCCTGGCATTGACTCTCCAAAACTGGGTTCTAAATGGGCACTTATGAATTAGCATATGCAAATTGTATGCAAAATGCCATTCTCCTTTGCCTTCCAATCTGGTAATGCATGCCCCTGATTCTGGCAATTTATAAGTGGCTACTCTACCTTGACCTCCAAGCACTTGCTCAGGAGGAGCAATATAAATGTCATGGATGGAAGGGATTTCTTTTGGTGGCTTTGTGGAACAGCACGGTCCCTGAGGGAGGTCCCACACCTGGGAGAAGCTCACCTGCGTAGGGAACATTTCATGGGAAGCAGGGTGATCATTTCAGGCCCGCTCAGCTCTCAAGCAGAGCATTCTCTCATATGCGTCACCTCGGCAGCCACCTCGGGGAAAGAGTGACCCTCTATCCGCCTCCTGCCAACAGTGCCAGCCAAGCCGAGGAGCAATGATACTCACTAATGCACGGAGCGACTGGTGAGCGGCTCTGCTGGTAGCCTTTGGCACAGCGGTTGCAGGTTAACCCTGTCACCCCATCTTTGCAAGGGCATTGGCCAGTCGTCTGGTTGCAGGTTTTTCCAGCTGCACCAACAGGGTGACAGTCACATGCTAAGAGGAAGGGGAAGGTGGCAGGAGAGCAGAGAGAAAGGGGAGACAAAGTCAAGAGTGGGACATTGCAATCATGCACAAAGACATTCACGTTTCTTCCAATGACACTGTGTGAGACGCTGAGTCGTGCCAGAACCAAGCATCCCTTCTCCCAACATACAGTGCTCCAAGGGGGAGATTTCAGAGCCTGGAAGAGAACTGCAAGAAGAGGCGGATTCAGAATGCGCAGCTGAATTAGCACGGCCGGCGAGCGGTGGGAGAAGCCAGGTGTCCAGAGAGAACAGACGGGCCCTGGCTTGGGGGAAGAGGCCACGGAACCGAGAGGGTAAGACGGGGAGGGCTGCAGCTTTGTCAGCCCGGTGGTCTAACATTAGATCAAGTGAGCAAACCATGAAGGGATGTCCGGTATTTCCACTACCTGGCCTACAAGCAGTGCAAAACTCCCCGAAACCAACTCTGTTTGATAGAGGCGGGAATGGGAGGGGGGGAATCATCTTGGAATCATCTCCTTGTATGGGAAAGAACTAACTCTACAAGGGACCACTTGACGGATGCTTGACAACTGTTACATTAACCGCACTGTAGTGCAGAGTCAGCCTCAACTGGGCGACCTAACTCAGGGAAAGAGTGTCGTCAGAAACCCTTCACTTGGATCTGCTGGGGAGTGAAAAGGGAAGAGACAGACTCGTGACACAGAACAAGGGGTCCGTGCTGTTCGTTGCACCCTTGATGCTCAGAAGGCGCCAGAGCTGGAGACTTATGAGCACCTGAGCAGCCCAGAAGGTGCAGCGGAGAGGAGCCGCAATTCAGCTGGACATCGTCAGCCATCTTCCTGAGGCCCTCGCCTCTCCCAGCCTCCTTCCCCATCGCAGGCCGTTCGTTCTCCCATTCTTTCATTGCGAACTCGCAACCTGCCTCCAGCCGCCACGTTCTTCCATCGCTCCCTTCGGCTGTTTTTGCATTCACTTCCTCCAATCCCAGCTTAAGAGCACAGGAGCAGCCATGCATAGCGTTTCCCTCCCACCCATGTTCCTTAGCAAGTGGCATGGACAGGCATATTGCCCCTGAAACGGGAAGTGGCACGGAGCTGTCAGGATTAGTACTCATTGACCGGCTTTTCTGCCATGAATTCGTCCAACCCCCTTTTCAAGCTGTCCAAATTAGTGACTGTCTCAACACCCTGTGGAAGTGAGCTCCATAGCTTAACTCTGCACTGTGTGAGGGTGTCCCTCCTTTGATCTGAATCTCCTACCAGCCAGCTTCATGGGGTGACCCCACTGGATTCTAGGATTGCGAAAGCTCCCCGCTCTCACATGACTCCGCTAGAGTAACGGAGAAGCCGCCAACTCTTAGCGGCAGCCTCCAGAAAGAGCACGTGTTCCTTGGTCCCTTTACAGCACCAGCTGATTAGCCAGCCATGGTTTCGGAATGTAAACCCATCCCTTAGGAGATCAAATACATTTCTTTTTCCACGCGTGTGAACAGTGATCCACCAACATTGATTTTTCTGGCACTTTCCAAAACTTGATAAGCAATTTCAGATCTTGCAGGAGAATCTTGAGTACAGCTGTTTTCCAGTTATGAAATTCTCCAGTTCTGACACCGCATTCTTTGAAAGCGGAGTAATGGATAAGACATGGCAAGCAGTAAATGAAAGAATAAGATCTGTGGGGAGGGAAGCCAGGCCAGCAAGGGAGCGGATCCACCCACTGCGCCGGCCCCCTTGTCGGCACGCAGGGACTTGCCTGCGCTAACGAGAGCTTCTCGTGGACAGCAGCAGGACCCCGTCTGGGGAGACAGCCATAGGCTGCCTTTGCCAGCACTGAATATGAAACTGCTGGCCACCACGGGTGAATTACGGGCTGCTGGGACACTGACAGGGTCTCAAATGATTGTTGCTGCTAGATGTTTTCATTGATGGGATGTGTGTCGCTGCAAGCATAAGTGTTCCAAGGTCAAGCTGTTGGCACCTGTGCTAAGCATGGACTGGATCCAGGTAGAGTAGACCTATTCAAGTGAATGGGACTTAAGTGGAATGTAGGTTAGTTAGGGCTAATCTGAGCTGCACTGTTGTGATGGGCTTACTCCTGAAACAATGAAACAATGCAAACTCCATTGTTCCTCCAGGGAACACTTGTAGGCAACAACTTTCTGGCTGCAAACACAGAACCTGAGTTTCCCTAGAAAAGAATCCCATACTGATTTTTTGTGGACAAGTGTGAATCATGATTGGCCATTCCAAGATTATGCACCCAGATGATTGCTATGCTTTTCTTTAAAATAAAAACAAACATGCAAAAAGAAAATCTTCGCTTGAAGTTTGCGCCTTCCAAGCATTCATTTTCTGGGTTAAGCTCCTGGAGGTTAGAGCTTCTGAACCAACGGCAATGGCCAGTTTTGTTCCTCTGTGTGTGTGCTGGAGTGTGATAGTCTGGCTCATGTGGAAAATGGTAGAAGTTTCCGTGCAACCTTCATCTCCCGCCTCTCAGGAGCAACGGACAAGCCAGAGTGGAAGGGAAAGTGTGTTAAGGCTCATTAAAGGTACCAAAATGCAACCTTGCGAGAGGAAGGGATGATAGGAGGAAAGCGGAAAGGAATCAAAAGAACTTTGGAAAAACTGTGTTGTAAAGGACGCCTGTGTTGTAAAGGCCCCCCGGGAGTGGCCCCTCTCCAGTCAGAGAGTTGAGGGGGGCATGGGAGGAACAGCCGGGGGGGCATGGATGTGAGGAAGCCCATCTCGCTTGTTTTACTGAGCCTCGGGTGGGTGAGCTGGCCCTGGCTCCAGCTCTGCTCTGGCCCCAGGGTTCTTGGCAGCACCAGCACAGGCTGGGGGACCAGGGCGCAAGGAGTTGCCATGGCCTGCGGAACATTGATCTCCGCAGCCGGAGGGCTTTCCTGGATCGAATGCAGCCCGCTGGCTGGAGGAAGTTCCCCCAAGCCTGCCAGCAGTTCAGACAGGAGCACTGGAAAAAATGGCGATTCCCCCACCAAAGGTCTAAAGGGGCATGATCCAGCCTACCAGCTCAGAAAGCCCATATAGAAACATAGAAACAGAGCGAGTCAGAAGGGGCCTCCCGGGCCATCTAGTCTGACCTCCGGCACCAGCCGGCTCCGCTCACAACATGCCCACCATGTGCATATCCAGCCTGTCCTTGAACACCCGCACCGATGGGGCGTCAACAACCTCTCGTGGAAGCCCATTCCACACCCTCGGGGTCCTGACTGTCAGGATGTGCTTCCTGATTTCATGAAGGTCCTGATTTCAAATCTTAGCATCTGTCTGTCTATTCCATTATTTTGTATTCTGTCTTTGATCTCTGAGTAATGATCTCTCTCAATCTCCACTTCCCCTCATTCTGATGCATGTTAAGATGAGCCCTAAGAAATCATCATCATCATCATCATCATCATCATCATCATCATCATCATCATCATCTCTATACTACCTGTATACCAAATTTCTCTGGGTGGTTTTACAAGAAAATAGACTCTACTTATTCCTAGGCCTAGAACTGCACACAAAAACCTGGCCCCTCCCTCAAGCTGGAAATACTGCTTTGCCATGTAGAAAGCATCTGCCTGCCTCGAGCTGGGAACCAAAATGCCTTAATTGTGTGGTGTGAACTCGCTATTTTTGGCCAGGCCAATGTTACACTGTCCTTCACCACAGCTTGGATTCTTGTCCTGCACACAGAAATGTTCACAGACATATTCTGGATCCCTTCAGGTCAGGGGAATCACTTGTGAAAATTGCCCTGAAAAGAAGGAAAGCATCACCAACCTGAGGAAAAAAATACTTTATATGTAGAAAAAACTGTAATATTTTGAATGGAATAGAGTAGAAGACGGTCAGCATGCGACTCGTGTAGTTACTGGCTGTTGATGGACAACTTGAAGGCCCAGCCCTTCCTTCTGAAATTTCTTCTCCGTATACCAACTACAGGGAACCCTTCAAATAGAGAATGTCATCGAAACAGAGGACTGTTCTCTGTAAAAGAGGACAGCCACCCTACTTGGGAGTTAATGAAATAGCTAACAGATTCACAGCCCAGAAATCTGGGCACCCTCACTTTTGGCAACGGTGTTCAATGGCTGAAAAGAAGGAGAGAAAAGATTTAGCGTGATGAGAGTCCCATCATATGGTCTTGGACTAGGGCCTGTTTAAAATGTGGGGCAGGGGTGGGGAAAGCAGAGAGAAATATCATGGTTTCCATCAGTGTAATAGTCAAACATGATTCCAAAGCCAAACAAAAATACACACACGCACATGTCCCCCCCCAAAAAGAGATGTTATCGTTTCCCTAATTTTCACCAGATGGGATCCTGCCAAAGCACCGTGTCCCAGCGCAAGGGCTCTCTTGAACACAGCAAGGCGCGAGTCCACGGCGCCTAATGGGGAACAGATGCCACGGGCCTTATCAGATCCTGGCCAGGATGGGAAACGGACGTGTTTCTGACGAAGGTCTCCGGGGGGGCTCAGCTGGGATACCATGTGGCAGCGGGTGGCGGAGTCCTCAGATGATGTCAAGCCATCCTTCAGCCACAACATGCTCTGGTGCCAAGAAGGCGGGCAACACGCTTCCTTCCGCACAGGAATATTGGTAGGGTGGCCACGGGCCCTTCTTTACATATAGCAGTTCTCTATTTGTAATGCCCAAGCTCTCTGGGCAATTCACAGCTGTTCTTTATAGCCGGGGTGTTGAACCCCAGGCCTGCGGCCTGCAGCTGGCCCACTGCAAGCAAAGGGTGGCCCACTGGGAGGGCCAGTCTGGTCCTCCAAGGCTCTCCAGACGATCACACCACCTCTCCTGTTCCCACGCTGCTTTCACTGACCCCCAGGCTTTTGGTGCTATCCTCATCTTAGTTACTGGGAGGAGGAGATGTATGCTAAAATAGGCCAGTATCTTGGCTCACCCCTTCTGTCTTCAGTCCTGGCATGTGGCCCTGAGAACTTCGCCGAAACGGGGTTTGGTCCTCAGGATGAAAGAGGGCCTGCACCC